CTTTAGTCCCCACAGTTCTATAGCTTAGAAAATCTTTCAGAAAAAATGGTGCCTAGCTGCGAGCTTTATCATCACTATTTTCCTTACTTTAAAATTCAGTAAGTTGTCTCCCATTCTCCATAGGAACAATTTCTTCACAGCAGAGTTCATAGAAAATGTGCACCTCGAAGGTGAACACCATTGTTGTTGAGGTGGTGAACTATGATGAGGTGAGGCTGCTTGATCCTCCCTTTCCTGCTTAGGAAGTAAACTATGTGAAGCCTCCTCATCAGTACCTCATCTCCTCCCTTCCTTTCTCTGCTTGCTTCCATCTAGATCTTCACAAGACTTTGTTTCTCAATTCTCTTTTAATTTGCCTCTTAATGGACAGCTCCAAGCCATCTATATTTCGATCCATATAAATAGATGGAGAGAGAGAGAGAGAGAGAGAGAGAGAGAGAGAGAGAGAGAGAGAGAGAGAGAGAGAAGGGGGGATTGATTGACTAATTATTCTCGAGGGAGTTCAATATTTACTATTCTCATGCGAGTAATTAGCAAGCTTTCTACCTTATCTTGAGTTGTTTATGGGAATCTTTTGCTAATTAATCATGTCATATAATACGAACATATTGGAGAATTTATAGAGATCAATCTAGAGAATGATAATTTTCATAAAAAGGAGGTAATTATGTATAACCCTTGCAAGAAAATACGAGATTGGAGTAAAAGCTAACAAAGGGTGGATGCAATTTAATTACTTGTTAGTTGATTTAGTCTCAAGATGATTCCATTAAAATTTTGAGCTCTTGATGCATGTTATTTGATGATACATAGATCTATTTGAGTGGAATAAGGACTGATGTAAGGAACTTTCATGTAAAAAACATTTGAAGATAATTGTTAAGATGTGTGGAATTTTAGATTTAGACTTTGTGACGGCTTTTTTAATGCTTTTTAAAGCTGTTTTCTAGTACAAAAATTTTAATTTGTGTAATACAAAGCTGTTTTAAGATGCAGTAAAAAAGCCGTCCCAAACAAAACCTTAAGCTTCATTTGGGACGGCTTTCTTACTACTTAAAACAGCTTTCAAGCATAAAAATTTTAATTTTTTTTACTAAAAAACTGCTTAGAAAGCAATAAAAAGTCCTCACAAACGAAGCCTTAGTCTCCTATCAAATAATTAAAAATTATATTTATGAAACAAAACTAAGTTGTTGACATTAAAAAATAAATTTAGTTTTTTATATTAAAAATAGATTTAACAATTAAGTGATACAAACGTTATGTATCCACCCTAATTTTAATCTCCCTTATTCATTCCCTAACCATTATAATTGTTTAAATAATCATTATTTACATCGGTTGATTAAGCTTACATCAAATATTTATCTTTTATATTTGATATCACATTAATAAAATAAAAACATTTGAATAATAATAAATGTTATTTTTTTGGTAAATTAATATTTCATAGGACATGCACCTTAAAATTTAGGATATCTTTTATAGATTAAGGTTTTTTTTAGACGACTTTCTTATTGCTTCTTAAAATAACTTTCTAGTACAAAATTTTTAAATTTTGCACCATAAAGTTGCTTTACGAAGTAGAAAGAAAGCTGTCCTAATTGTTCGTTTAGGATAGCTTTCTTACAATTTTATAAAGTTACTATAAATAAAATAACTTCTTAAAGCTGTTGTAGAAAACATCTTCCTAGTATAAATTTTTTTTTAAAGCAGCGAATAATCTATGGCAAAAAAAATATGTTATCGCAGTGTGAAAAGAAAAGGAGTAAGAAAGTTTTCCCAAACGAAGAAAAGGAGTTTTAATTTTTGTATTAAAACTCCGTTTTAGAAAGCAGTAAAAAAGCCGTCCCAAACGAAGCCTAAGTGATATTCACCAAATCATGCGAATTTGATCTTATTAATTGTGTTGATCGATAAGATTAAACATAAAATTAATTCCTAACTAGTAAATAATATAATTATTTTAATAGAAGATTAGATCCCTAACTGTGTGCATAAAAATTAAAATGAAAATTGATTTTCAAACTACTCTAATTGACACTCAATAAGGCTTACACTATATGACATATTTTCCTTTCAATTTATCTTTTTATTGCATTTTAGAAATCGGCATTTCAATAAAATATATTAGAGAATTGTTACTCAATAAAGCTTACATTACATGAAAATTATAATATATTTGTGATATTTGAGATAAGAGTCAAGAAGGCCTTAGCCATTTGAATAATGGCTAGGGTTAACGTCACCGATGAATGCTTGAAATTTAAATAATTAATTGAATCATAGTAATCGGCATCATGTATGTGCATACTTACATGCCTTCCTTCGATTCCCATCATACAATATAAGAATGTTTATGCTTGATTTAATTATAAAAAAAAATTCACCAGCCTATAACTTCACACCTCTACAAATATATATAGATCAAAATTAATCGAATCATATTTGAACAAATTCAAATATTGCTCGAACATGATTGAACAATTATCAAGTTATGATCAAATATGCTCAATATATAATTGAAATACATTTGAAAATATGATCTAAACATAATCATCGAATGACGTTCAAAACTTATTTGCATAAAGCTTGAATAACATAGTATTTGGCAAATTGAACTATATTTGATCATGATTCAAATAAGATCCATACGTAGTTCTTGCAATGAATGATAAGTAGGAGTACGAATCAAGATTTGATGATGGAGATGGGATAAAAATGACACGCAAAAGATGATAAAGTTCAATGAGAGAAACAACTGGGATAAACCAAACATATAATCACAAGAAATGAAAAAATAAATATCTAATATAATGATTTTTTTTAGAAACACCTTTATTCCATAAAAATGGAAGATACAACGAAGACCAACTTGGAAGATCCAAAAATTACAAAGCTAAAATCAACCAATTAAGGTAAATATCAACCGATCTCAGGAAATAGCATGGACTTCTAACCAACCATTCGAAAGGCAGGCGCCAAGCACAAACCAAGCATCACCCCACTGTTCAAACAAACGCCACCAATCATAACGAGAGGAGTCACCAAGGCTTCCAACAAGCCAAGTCCATTCAGTGGTTGGGCAGAAAGCCGCCTCACCATTGACCGGACTAGACAATTAATGGTCACAACTAAGTAACATAGCATCCAGCCTAGCCAAAAAAAACCAATTACTTTTTATTTATTTATTTAAACCTACACCATTTGCCTCCACCATGAAATTGGACTTTTTGAGCATAACGACTTACATTCAAGATATACCCATTAAAATCATTCTTCGGCTCATCCATATCATCTCTAACATTCCTACAAGGAGAAGAGCAAAACACATCCAACCAATCGAAAAGATCCATAAGACTAATTGTGAATTTGGAAGCCAAATTGATTTTTCAACTCCTCAGAAGAAATAAGTGCAATTGAAAGATCCACAGACAACATATTCACAATTGGGCTCAAAGTAACAGTCGAAAAAACATTAGAAACCAACAAAATAGGAGCCTCAAGACTATGCATGACCAACAACAAACCCATCAATCTCCACCCCAATATCAATTACCCCATCATAACCCCTATTAATAGGTGCCTTATTAATAGGCGAAACAATACAATTTTCAATAACATTTCCAAAAATATCTAATATAATGATAAGTAATTGTAGCACGTTTAGTGTTGCTTCTAGAAGAGGGGAGAGAGGCTTTGGCTGATCTAAGATTCCCACAACCATTAGTAGAATGATGAGGACTAGAAGAGCCTAACCTCCAAAGAAGACTCACATAGTTCTTGATGGTATAAAGAGGCTTATTTATAACCCAAAAAAAATATTAAGACTCCTAATAATATAATAACGTTAATTATAACTATCAATTATATTATTAATCTAAACATATGATCATATATGGTATGTCAGAAAAAATCATTTTTGTCAGGTACTCATCTAAAGGCATATTTGAGCTAAAAACTTTCAAAATTAAAAATGGGACCATCCAAATTCTAAACTCGGCAACCTTAAAGTCAAATTGAAATACTCGACAAGACGAATCTAATGACACCAAAATCGGCCCAATCCAAGTCCAAATGTTGGGGGTAGGGGGTTACATTTTCCAATCATCGCCTTCGACTATCACCACAAGTTATCGCTACCGACAACCATTATTGCCACCAATGGCCATCATAAAAAAAATTAATCACTTTCTCCAGAATACTGACAAGATTTGAACCTATTGTTGGGTATATTTGTCCTCAAGTGGACATCTATTCCTATGATCTGTATCAAAAAAATTAAGTCATGTTATTGGATATAGATTGTCCCTCTCTGTAAACGCATGATCTTTTTACTTTTCCTCTTCTTTAACAATAAAGAAAGGAGAATATTTGTATCATTTGTTAAATATTGAATTTTATAACTAGGCCATACCCCTAGTTTTTTCACTTTCTCAATTTTCCATGTAAAAGATTATAGCCATAATACTTTCAGCTGCACATATTGAACTTTTGTACAATATTTAAATACAAACAAACTTAAATTTTCTAGCATGTAAAAAATAAAATATGTCAAATATTTTATTTTCTTGCAGAATATATATTAATTATTTTATTTAAAATCATGATATTTATATATTTACTTGTCTTGTTATTTTTCTCAGCATTTTCTTGCAGAATATATATTAATTATTTTATTTAAAATCATGATATTTATATATTTACTTGTCTTGTTATTTTTCTCAACCCTCACTCCTACACTCCAAGTTCCTGTAACAACTCCACGCCACCATACAACTTCAATCTTCCAGACTTCCACCGAACACCTACGGCCTACCGTAGTCACCTGTCGGTGCCCACATCCATACTGTTCCTGTCACGGCCATCATCACTTCGACGCCTCCAACCCAACCCCGGCTGTCACTCACCGTCACTAACCTATCGATTCCCTTCCATTTCTTCGCGGGAACCCTAACTCCTCGAGGATTTATAGATCAACATTATTTTCACCACCAGAAATGAAGGAGGTCAGCGCCCGAGGCACCTCGCTAGAGTTCCCGTCGTCGGGACATCAGGTTATAAAAATCATCGGGAACCTATGTTTCTTCATATTTGTCGCCTCTGTCATCGTCTTCTCTGTCATTGCTGCAACCTACCAACCCCCCGACCCATGGTTCCAAACCTCCAAGGCCATTACCAAATCCCTCTCCGCCACACTTCCCAACTCCACCATCGCAATTGATAACTCTCTTCTGCACACCGGCGAAGATCTCGTCACCTCTCCCCCTTCTGCCGTCAACGCCGGCGAAGCTCTCCTTAACAATAACTACTTCCCCACCTCCTTGGCCTGTGATCCAAACGCCCCGCTCAACTGTTCCAACACCGTCCTGGCGGCAATCCAGCTCATCACCTCCAAGATCTTTCGCAAATCCATTATCTTCATTTCATACGACACCCCGTCAATGGATCCAATCCCGACGAATGCGACGCCGCCTGGCGCTTCCGCAACCGTTTGGAGAAATCATGGAGATGCTATCGCGACTACCGCCGCTTCCACCTTGCTCCGGCTGAGAATTGCACCTTCGATGTCGTTCGTGCTGGTAAGTTCCGCTCCGTTACCAACGTCGCCCGCCATCCCCGTCGCGCTACCTCCCCACCAGCCGTTAAAATCCCGGATCTAGACATCAACGACACGATCCCCACTGTTGGACGGTACCTATACTACTCTCGTGGCGGTGGTTACTACAAGAGTATGAATCATTGTATGGAGCTTCCTCTGTGGCCTCGAGAAGCCAAGTTCCTCAACCGGACTTTCATCATGGACCTCATTGTATGCCTTGCCGGAAGCTACACTTGTACAGGAGAGGAGAACGTGAAGGGAAATTCTATCTTGGCCCCCCTGTGAGCCATCAAAATTTTATTTATAGTTGTTTCAAATCAATTACAATGTAGTTACACTAATTATTCAATTACAAGCAAACTACCTACTAATCACAACAATTGCCTACACTACTATAAAAAACTTAGATTAATGCAATACAAACTCTTCGAATATAACATTAATAGAAAATCAAATAAAATAATATTCGAACTCATCCTGATACAAAAATATTTTAACATAGTATCTTTCTATAGTTATTGCTTGTCTTTTAGTCTTCGAGCAGTACGATCCGCTGGCCGATCCTTACTTTTCTTCCCAGCTGCTGCCACTTTTTCTCTACCGTTGCCATTTAAAATTGATCATTCATCACCTCCCTACTTTTCTTCCCAGCTGTTGACACTTTTCCTCTACCGTTGCCATTTAAAATTGATCTTTCATCACCTCAGGAGCTCTTCGATCTTTCCCTTATTGCTACCTGTTTTCAAAAATATTGCAAAGAAGATCAACATATTCCTTATAGATATATGCATATAATAGTTCATTGTCTATTACTTATACTTCCATCTACATTCAGCCAAATTAAAAAATTGATTTTCAAATTAAAAAATAAGCTAAAAATTTTTTAATAAAAGAATATAATTTATTAATTATTCATCAATTTTTTATAATTATGACATCTTAATCACACTTTAAAGTTTCTTTTCTCTATTAATTTCAATTAAACTTATTCAA